AGAGAGGAAAGAGTGAGAGGTGAAAGGAATAGAGATGAGAAAGAGTGAAAGGAAGAGAGAGAGGGAATAGAGGATGAAGAGAGGATGAGAGAGAGGATGGAGAGAAAGGGGGAGAGAGAAAAGAGAGAGAGAGAGAAGAAGAGAGAGAGAGAAGAGAGAGAGAGAGAGAGAGAAGATAGAGAGAGAGAAGAGAGAGAGAGAGAGAGAGAAGAGAGAGTAGAGGAGAGGAGAGAGTAGATGGGGGGGAAAGGAAGGGTTATAGGTCACTTCACAGGAAGGTGTACAATCCTGAATATGATGTGTTGTGTGTGTGGTCTATATATGTGTGTGTGTGTGGTGTCTGTATGTGTGTGTGTGTGATGTGTGTTTATGTGTGTGTTTATAGTGTGAGTGTGTGTTGTGTGTGGTGTGTGTGTGGCATATATATGTGTTGTGCTGTGTGAGTGTGTGTGTGTGTGAGTTTGTGTGTGTGAGTGCTACAGCTTCAAGTGCCTAACAACAGTGCTGTTTCAGCCCCAAGTGTGCATGCATATTTTTATGTAACAATTCTTATTTCCACGTATGTATCTAATATGTATTGTATAAGTACCGCGATCTCTTGGTTCCACTATAATATAAACGCCTTATGCAGTTTAAAATTATGTTCAAAAATAAATACACTAATGCTTTGCCTATATGCCGCTACCTCAAAATTTCTATTAAAAGCCATAAAATGCTGCTTTTATCTAATTCTGAAAGCCGAAGAGTGACCCCCTAATTACAGCTAGAGACAGTCTATTGAACCCCATGCAACCAAACAAGGGTTAATATAATTGCGGCTGGCAATGGAGATAACGTTGCGGTCTGTCCTGTCGCAGAAGTTGATGTTTGATTGCTTCTCGGAAATTTTTTCCACTACTTCCTGTAATGCACTATATTCTCTAGCTCTTTACTAATTTTTTCACTCACTCACTGTAATTACTGACACGAACATCTATACATATCTCTTATCTCCCTGTCCTTGAGTCGCACTTAATTCTTCAAATAACCCCACTGCGTTATTATGGCAACACAATTTAGGGTCCTGTCACAAAACCGTTCACCCTGTCAACTGCCCTCACTAAACACTCAGCAACTATTTCCATTTGGTTTTCTTTCTGTGAATACTTATATTTCCTTTTTCAGGCTTAAGTGATATAAATGCACCTCTTGCGTGCACGCACGCCTATACCCACACTCAATTCCCTTATGGCCAGGTCAGAAATTAACACAAAACAAGGAGCTCAAAGCCGCGGTGACTCCTCACGAGAGTGTGTGTGTGTGTGTGTGTGTGTGTGTGTGTGTGTGTGTGTGTGTGTGTGTATGTGTGTGTGTGTGTGTGTGTGTGTGTGTGTGTGTGTGTGTGTGTGTGTGTGTGTGTGTGTGTATGTGTGCTCACCTAGTTGTACTCACCTAGTTGAGGTTGCAGGGGTCGAGTCCAAGCTCCTGGCCCCGCCTCTTCACTGGTCGCTACTAGGTCACTCTCCCTGAACCATGAGCTTTATCTTACCTCTGCTTAAAGCTATGTATGGATCCTGCCTTCACTATATCGCTTCCCAAACTGTTCCACTTCCTGACTACTCTATGGCTGAAGAAATACTTCCTAACATCCCTGTGATTCATCTGTGTCTTCAACGTCCAACTGTGTTCCATTGTTGCTGTGTCCCATCTCTGGAACATCATGTCTTTGTCCACCTTGTCAATTCCTCTCAGTATTTTGTATGTCGTTATCATGTCCCCCCTATCTCTCCTGTCCTCCAGTGTCGTCAGGTTGATTTCCCTTAACCTCTCCTCGTAGGGCATACCTCTTAGCTCTGGGACTAGTCTTGTTGCAACCCTTTGCACTTTCTCTAGTTTCTTTACGTGCTTGGCTAGGTGTGGGTTCCAGACTGGTGCCGGATACTCCAATATGGGCCTAACGTACACGGTGTACAGGGTCCTGAACGATTTCTTATTAAGATGTCGGAATGCTGTTATGAGGTTTGCTAGGTGCCCATATGCTGCAGCAGTTATTTGGTCGATGTGCGCCTCAGGAGATGTGCCTGGTGTTATACTCACCCCAAGATCTTTTTCCTTGACTGAGGTTTGTAGTCTCTGGCCCCCTAGACTGTACTCCGTCTGCGGTCTTCTTTGCCCTTCCCTAGTCTTCATGACTTTTCACTTGGTGGGGTTGAACTCCAGGAGCCAATTGCTGGAGCAGGCCTGAAGCTTGTCCAGATCTCTTTGTAGTTCTGCCTCGTCCTCGTCCGATTGAATTCTTCTCATCAACTTCACATCATCTGCAAACAGGGACACTTCAGAGTCTATTCTTTCCGTCATGTCGTTCACAAATACCGGAAACAGCACCGGTCTTCCGACTAACCCCTGTGGAACCCCACTCGCCGTGTGTGTGTACTCACCTAATTGTACTCACCTAATTGTGGTTGCAGGGGTCGAGACTCAGCTCCTTTCCCCGCCTCTTCAGAGTGCTACTAGATCCTTTCTCTCCCTGCTCCATGAGCTTTATCATACCTCATCTTAAGGCTATGTATGGTTCCTGCCTCCAATACCTTACTTGCTAGGCTATTCCACTTCCTGACTACTCTATGACTGAAGAAATACTTCCTAACATCCCTTTGACTCATCTGGGTCTTCAACTTCCAATTGTGACCCCTTGTTTCTGTGTCCCCTCTCTGGAACATCCTCTGTCCACCTTGTCTATTTCACGCAGTATTTTGTGTGTCATTATCATGTCTCGTGTGTGCGTGCGTGTGTGTGTGTGTGTGTGTGTGTGTGTGTGTGTGTGTGTGTGTGTGTGTGTGTGCGTGTGCGTGTGCGTGTGCGTGTGTGTGTGTGTGTGAGTGTGTGAGTGTGTGTGTGTGTGTACTCACCTATTTGTGGTTACAGAAGTCGACTCACAGCTCCTGGCCCCTCCGCCTCTTCACTGGCGGCTCCTAGGTCCACTCTCTCCCTGCTCCATGAGCTTTATCGTACCTCTTCTTAAAGCTATGTATGGATCCTGCTTTCACTATATCATTCTCCAGATTGTTCCACTTCCTGACCACTCTATGACTGAGGAAATACTTCCTAACATCACTGTGACTCCTCTGAGTTTTCAGCTTCGAGTTGTGACCAACACTTGTTACTGTGTCCAATCTCTGCAACATCCTGTCCCTATCCACGTTATCATTTCCTCTCAGTGTTTTATATATCGTTATCATGTCCTACCTATCCCTCCTGTCCTCCAGTCTCGTCAGGTTGATTTCCCTTAACCTCTCCTCGTAGAGCCTACCCCTCAGCTTAGGGACTAGTTTTGTTGCAAACCTTTGCATTTTCTCTAATTTCTTGACGTGTTTAACCAGGAGTGGGTTCCATACTGGTGCTGCATACTCCAATATGTGCCTGACGTACATGGTGTACAGTGTCTTGAATAATTTCATTATTTAGATCTCGAAACCCTATTCTCAAGTTTTCCAGGCTCCCGTATGCAGCAGTTATTTGGTTGATGTGCGTCTCAGAAGATGTGCTCGGTATGATGCTCACCCCAACACCTCAAAATCCTTTTCCTTGAGTGAGTTTTGCAGTCTTTGACCTCTTAGGCTGTACTCTGCGGTGTGTGTGTGTGTGGTGTGTGTGTGTGTGTGTGTGTACTCACCTCCACCTAGTTGAGGTTGCAGGGGTCGAGTCCAAGCTCCTGGCCCCGCCTCTTCACTGTTCGCCATTAGGTCACTCTCCCTGAACCATGAGCTTTATCGTACCTCTGCTTAAAGCTATGTATGGATCCTGCCTCCACTACATCTCTTCCCAAACTAATTCACTTCCTGACTACTCTGTGGCTGAAGAAATACTTTCTAACATCCCTGTGATTCATCTGTGTCTTCAGCTTCCAACTGTGTCCCCTTGTTGCTGTGCTCAGTCTCTGGAACATCCTGTCTTTGTCCACCTTGTCAATTCCTCTCAGTATTTTGTAAGTCGTTATCATGTCCCCCCTAACTCTCCTGTCCTCCAGTGTCGTCAGGTTGATTTCCCTTAACCTCTCCTCGTAGGACATACCTCTTAGCTCTGGGACTAGTCTTGTGGCAAACCTTTGCACTTTCTCTAGTTTCTTTATGTGCTTGGCTAGGTGTGGGTTCCAAACTGGTGCCGGATACTCCAATATGGGCCTAATGTAGACGGTGTACAGGGTCCTTATTAAGATGTCGGAATGCTGTTCTGAGGTTTGCTAGGCGCCCATATGCTGCAGCAGTTATTTGGTTGATGTGCGCTTCAGGAGATGTGCCTGGTGTTATACTCACCCCAAGATCTTTTTCCTTGAGCGAGGTTTGTAGTCTCTGGCCCCCTAGACTGTACTCCGTCTGCGGTCTTCTTTGCTCTTCCCCAATCTTCATGACTTTGCACTTGGTGGGGTTGAACTCCAGGAGATAATTGCTAGACCAGGTCTGCAGCCTGTCCAGATCCCTTAGTAGTTCTGCCTGGTCTTCGATCGAATGAATTCTTCTCATCAACTTCACGTCATCTGCAAACAGGGACACTTCGTGTGTGTGTGTGTGTGTGTGTGTGTGTGTGTACTCACCTAGTTGAGGTTGCAGGGGCCGAGTCCAAGCTCCTGGCCTCGCCTCTTCACTATGTGTGTATGTATGTGTGTGTGTGTGTGTGTGTGTGTGTGTGTGTGTGTGTGTGTGTGTGTGTGTGTGTGTGTGGTGTGTGTGTGTTGTGTTTGTGTGTGTGGTGTGTGTGTGTGTGTGTGTGTGTGTGTCCGTCTGTCAATCCTTGGCTGAAGTGCAGTTGATGGTGCAACCAGTAGCAAGTGATTTTCTGGCCAGCTGATGGAGGAGGGAGGGGTAGAGGGGGAAATTATTCTACTGCGCACACACACACACACAAACACCCTCACAACACATCCAGTTTGGGAAATGTGGCTGGGCGTGGCTTGAGGCTGGGGCGTGTCTTGAGGTGAGCGTGGCTTAGAGCAAGCTCTCTCATTAGTCGCTCACCAACTTTAAAACCTCCCTGATAATAGAGAATCTGTTGAGTGTCTTAACTAAGTGTGCTACAGTACCCGGCTCTCGTTCTTATCACTGATCTTCATCACGTTCCCGCTGCTCTCTGTGACTCTTGTGATTAGAAAAATTGAGCCAGTTCGCAGTCGCCACTAAAGAGTTCGATTCTCAGGTTCGACACCTTGGTCTGACGGGCAGTTTAATTCACTGCATAAATAGACAGTCGGGTTAGCCAGACAAACGGACAGTCGGGCTCCCCGGAACAGACCGACAGCCGGGTTAGCCGGACAAACGGATAGTCGGGCTCCCCGAAAAGACCGACAGCCGGGTTCGATGGACAGTCTCGGGTTCGCTAGACAGACAGTCGTGTTCACTTGACAACACCACAGACACTCCTCCCTCGCCGCTTTCTTCAGTAGTGATTCACATAAGGTCAGTGACGGATCTCTGTTATTTATCTTAGACGAATAAAAGTCACGATACCGTGAGAGGGACAGTTTACAAATAACCCGAACTTGTAAGAAGAAACTTTAGGCAACTTTATTTGTTTTCCTTCAGCTGCAACTTGATAAAAGTTCAGTGCGGACTTAGATGTCGTTTAAAGTTTGCTATGTATGTGAGTGTATGTGTTACTTGCGAAGAGTTTGTCTCGGTTTAACCCCTGTGGTATATTTAAATATGTATGTGATATTTTGCTTGCTGTCTCTCGTTCGGCCTTCCTCTCTTTTCCCGTCTATATTTAGCAAATATAACACACATCAGTGATGCTGTCTGTTCCCTCACATATTTAGTCCAGTTATGAATTAGTTTTAGCAGGTATAGAAGTGAGTTTCTTCTCTCTGTCTCTCACCGGTGGTCAGTCATGCCTCTCACTTCCTCCAGTAAGACAGACTTGTCTCTGAATTTCAGCTACACGAATTGCGGTCACTTAGCGACAAGGTAAAGGTGGCCCCGTATTGCACAACCCTGGCATCATCTACCCTAAGGAAATAGCGCAGAGTGCGGCATAATTTTCAAGCGCTTTTAAATATCAGCACTGAAGACTTGAAGCGGATCAGAAGTGGATTGGTAGCTCATCCTTCCTATAATATTCTGATTGGTAGCGCCTCCTTCCTATAATATGTTCTGATTGAGTGTGCATCCGCGTTAATTATTTTTCTGCCGGGGAATCAGGTACCGCAGGTGTTAGTCGAATGATATGTTAGAAACCTTAATTACTGTGCCTGTGCTAAATTTACACTTATGTTCTTGACTCAAGGTCACACATATGTACACTTATTTGCAGCTTACATGATTTCCATTCTCTTCGAAGTGACGACCTTGATCAATCAAGCTGTTGCTTCTAGCACCGCGAGTTGAAGCTAGGTGTGTCAGCACTGGTATACTCAGGAAGAAGCGTTAAAGCCGCAGGGGGTCATACAGCGCCTGGAGGATGGAGGGGGGAGGAAATCAGGTTTGATATGAGGAAAGGGAGGAGTAGATTCAGTTCCTAAGATCAACAGGCTTGTCATCGGAGCCAAGGAACACTGTCTTGTATTATTATTATTATTATTATTATTATTATTATTATTATTATTATTACAATCAAAAGTAAGAGCTAAACCCACAAGGGTCATACAACACTGCAACACAAACTCTCGTAGAGGAAATTGGCTGGTCATTGTGTTGTTGTTGTTGTTGTTGTTGTTGTTGTTGTTGTTGTTGTGTGTTGTTGTTGTTGTTGTTGTTGTTGTTGTTGTTGTTGTTGTTACTGTTATTATTGTTTCTTTTTCTGTTATTATTTTTATTATTATTATTATTATTATTATTATTATTATTATTATTATTATTATTATTATTATTATTATATTTATTATTATTATTATTACAATTATATTAACAAGTGGTAAAGAGGGATGTATCAAACATAGTTTTAAGACTAGGTAAGATAGAGTTCAAGCAGACAGGACAGAGTGAACTCAGTAACGGCCACCAAGATCGACCCTTGAAGCTACAAGTAGGTGAGTACTGTATCACCTGCCTGACACTGCCTCACCTTAGTTCCGCCACAAGCAGCCAGCAACCTTGGGCAAGTTCTGTGAAGCATTCATTACATGGAATGTTGCTGTGCATTTAATGAAATGCTTAATCCGTGTGGGTCATTCAGCGCCAGGAGTGACATTGACTCGAGCCTTGTGATGGTGGAAGCCAGTACTGGTCTCCCTACCTGATATGAGGGAATACCTTGTTCCTTCATTTTAGGGGAGATAACAGCTGGGAACAGAGGGTCCTCAACCATCATTGAGGTGGCTGACCTTGTGAAACCTACTTCATGGAGTGAAGCCACTTCTGTAACCAGTGAGGGAAGGGAGGACTTAGTGAATTGCAGTAGGCACTTGTAGACACACAATGTCTGTATATTTTGAAATCCCACTTCTCTTAGTGATGACACATCACTGTAACGACCCTCGTTAGCGATGTACTATTTCTCTGTAAGTAACTTTGTCTAAGTATCTAAGTGAGGTAATTAATGATAGTTCTGTATGTTTTATGTTCTCATTGTTGGTGTGATAAACAGGTGTATGCACTTACGTATCGTTTTGTCATATTCTTCTGTACAGTTAAGTGGAGTTTAAGTAAGCAAAGTGGGTTTTAACTGAGAAAAGTAGAGTCGAATTCAGGAGAGTGAAATTTAGGTGAGGAAAGTGGAGTTTAAATGTCGAAAGTGGAGTTTGAATGAGGGAAGTGAAGTTTAGTGAGGCGAGAGGAAGCTCTTGCACTCCTCTTCCCTCCTCCAATTCCAAGGTATAATAAGTGGTAGATCAGCAGAGGTGATTGTTAAGTGGTAGATCAGCAGGGGTGATTGTTAAGCGGTAGATCAGCAGGGGTGATTGTTAAGTGGTAGATCAGCAGGGGTGATTGTTAAGTGGTAGATCAGCAGGGGTGATTGTTAAGTGGTAGATCAGCAGGAGTGATTGTTAAGTGGGAGATCAGCAGGAGTGATTGTTAAGTGGTAGAACAGCAGGGTGATACAACCAGTGGTAGAACAGCAAGGTGATACAACCAGTGGTAGATCAGCAGGGTGATACAACCAGTGGTAGATCAGCAGGGTGATACAACCAGTGGTAGATCAGCAGGGGGATACAACAGTGGTAGATCAGCAGGGTGATACAACCAGTGGTAGATCAGCAGGGTGATACAACCAGTGGTAGATCAGCAGGGTGATACAACCAGTGGTAGATCAGCAGGGTGATACAACCAGTGGTGGATCAGCAGGGTGATACAACCAGTGGTAGATCAGCAGGGTGATATAACCAGTGGTAGATCAGCAGGGTGATACAACCAGTGGTGGATCAGCAGGGTGATACAACCAGTGGTAGATCAGCAGGGTGATACAAACCAGTGGTGGATCGGCAGGGGTAATACAACCAGTGGTGGATCAGCAGGGTGATACAACCAGTGGTGGATCAGCAGGGTAATACAACCAGTGGTGGATCAGCAGGGTGATACAACCAGTGGTGGATCAGCAGGGTGATATAACCAGTGGTAGATCAGCAGGGTGATACAACCAGTGGTGGATCAGCAGGGTGATACAACCAGTGGTGGATCGGCAGGGTAATACAACCAGTGGTGGATCAGCAGGGTGATACAACCAGTGGTGGATCGGCAGGGTAATACAACCAGTGGTGGATCAGCAGGGTGATATAACCAGTGGTAGATCAGCAGGGTGATACAACCAGTGGTGGATCGGCAGGGTAATACAACCAGTGGTAGATCAGCAGGGTGATACAACCAGTGGTGGATCGGCAGGGTAATACAACCAGTGGTGGATCAGCAGGGTAATACAACCAGTGGTGGATCAGCAGGGTGATACAACCAGTGGTAGATCAGCAGGGTGATATAACCAGTGGTAGATCAGCAGGGTGATACAACCAGTGGTGGATCAGCAGGGTGATACAACCAGTGGTAGATCAGCAGGGTGATACAACCAGTGGTGGATCGGCAGGGTAATACAACCAGTGGTGGATCAGCAGGGTAATACAACCAGTGGTGGATCAGCAGGGTGATACAACCAGTGGTGGATCAGCAGGGTGATACAACCAGTGGTGGATCAGCAGGGTGATACAACCAGTGGTAGATCAGCAGGGTGATATAACCAGTGGTAGATCAGCAGGGTGATACAACCAGTGGTGGATTCAGCAGGGTGATACAACCAGTGGTGGATCAGCAGGGTGATACAACCAGTGGTGGATCAGCAGGGTGATACAACCAGTGGTGGATCAGCAGGGTGATACAAACCAGTGGTGGATCAGCAGGGTGATACAACCAGTGGTGGATCAGCAGGGTGATATAAACCAGTGGTAGATCAGCAGGGTGATACAACCAGTGGTGGATCAGCAGGGTGATACAACCAGTTGGTGGATCAGCAGGGTGATACAACCAGTGGTGGATTCAGCAGGGTGATACAACCAGTGGTAGATCAGCAGGGTGATATAACCAGTGGTAGATCAGCAGGGTGATACAATCAGTGGTGGATCAGCAGGGTGATACAACCAGTGGTGGATCAGCAGGGTTGATACAACCAGTGGTGGATCAGCAGGGAGATACAACCAGTGGTGGATCAGCAGGGTGATACAACCAGTGGTGGATCAGCAGGGTGATACAACCAGTGGTGGATCAGCAGGGTGATACAACCAGTGGTGGATCAGCAGGGTGATACAACCAGTGGTGGATCAGCAGGGTGATACAACCAGTGGTGGATCAGCAGGGTGATACAACCAGTGGTGGATCAGCAGGGTGATACAAACAGTGGTGGATCAGCAGGGTGATACAACCAGTGGTAGATCAGCAGGGTGATACAACCAGTGGTGGATCGGCAGGGTAATACAACCAGTGGTGGATCAGCAGGGTAATACAACCAGTGGTGGATCAGCAGGGTGATACAACCAGTGGTGGATCAGCAGGGTGATACAACCAGTGGTGGATCAGCAGGGTGATACAACCAGTGGTAGAACAGCAGGGTGATACAACCAGTGGTGGATCAGCAGGGTGATACAACCAGTGGTGGATCAGCAGGGTGATACAACCAGTGGTGGATCAGCAGGGTGATACAACCAGTGGTAGATCAGCAGGGTGATATAACCAGTGGTAGATCAGCAGGGTGATACAACCAGTGGTGGATCAGCAGGGTGATACAACCAGTGGTGGATCAGCAGGGTGATACAACCAGTGGTGGATCAGCAGGGTGATACAACCAGTGGTGGATCAGCAGGGTGATACAACCAGTGGTGGATCAGCAGGGTGATACAACCAGTGGAGGATCAGCAGGGTGATACAAACCAGTGGTAGATCAGCAGGGTGATATAACCAGTGGTAGATCAGCAGGGTGATACAACCAGTGGTGGATCAGCAGGGTGATACAACCAGTGGTAGAACAGCAGGGTGATACAACC